AGGAAGCTTCCTTGAGTTCCCTCCCACCACTGCTCCACCCCACAGTGGGTGGCTTCGGATTTGATAGCTCTGTCCCCAGGTGGCGCTGCACCTGCATGAGGTGGGGAGGGTGAGTTCACCGCTTGGGTCCGCTAGCCATCTAGAGGATTCAGATCAAGCTGGCTTCAGATTACTGAAAGGGCTCCCCACCCCCACTCCCACTCAGGGCTCTGTGAGTGGAAGCTTTTTGCATGCTTACCCGGATTTCCCCACCTGTAAAAGGCAGAGGGCGGAGCCACGCTGGGGACACTCCCTGCCCCGCAGGCAGCTAGCAAATAGGGACATTATTAGGCAACGGGTCAATCATCAGAGTCACAGATCAAGTGCTTCTCTGCTAGAATTAGTTTCCCGATTTGTAGGAGACAAAATAAAAGCACAGGGAGAGCCAAAGGAAGGCCAGTCAGAGGGTGGGAGCCCAAAGTCCATCCCGCTGGCTCAGCCTCTCAGGACTTGCCCTGCGCTGTGCGGGATGCTCGATGCTCGCACAGAGCGTGCTGGGACCTCCAAGCACTGGCTCTCTCCTGGCTCTTTCCCGCCCCTCTCTCTCCCACCCTCCTAGCCGAGCGCCCTCTTACTTCTGCTGAGTCTCGGGATCCAGGGCTGCCCGCTATAAAAAGCAGCGAGGTGTGGGATGTAGCGAGCGACCCCAGGCAGAGAAGCTGGGAAGAGCCACTTCAACATTCAGACCCAGGGATGAAAAAAGCCGATTCCTGCGCTTCCACCCCAGCGGTGAGGGGACGGAGGTTGGTTGTGTCATGGCAGGGAGGCTGAACCCTTGGGACTGTAACTCCCTGCACACCCCCCATTCCCATTGTCTGTCTCCCAGACAGAGCCCAGACCAGGCAGCCCCTGCTTTGGGCAGCTGAGCGCCCTACCCCTGCACCCTCCTCACCCCACTCCATCCCAGTCTTGCCTAGCTCATTCCAGACCCTAATTTGTGCCTCTCCGACTTCCCACACCACCTGCTGATGTCAAGTGAGGGTTTCCCGTGAGCAGGCCTTGGCACAGGAGGCTCTTGGGAGGGCCCGGCAAATCCTCCTGGCTGGGTCTGGGGAGTCTACAGATGCCGAAGTCCTGGTGACTGTACCCCGTGGAGATGGGCTCTGCCTTTACCTGCTTCACCCCTCAGCAGGGTGTAAGCAGTGATGGCCTTACCAGCTGGCACGTCCACAGCTCAGATTTGGAGTCAAGTCAGACTTTGCAGCTGCAGGGTGCCTGGCTATGACCTATGACTACCATCTCAGATAACCTGGCAGAGAATCCAGGCTTGGAGGGGTGCAGACCCTGGGCAAAAACCAGACACACAGCAGGAGCCTATCGCTGTGGCCTCACTACTGTACTCTCTGCTGCTCTTCTTCCTCTCTCTGTCCCTCCCCCAAGAATGGGGAGAGAGAAGGGGCGCGGGGGTGGGGAGGAGGCAGGAGAGAAAGAGAGAATGGGACCAGAAAATTTCCAAAGTGAAAAAAAAGAGACCAAAGCTTGCGCACCTGTTACTCATGCTGGAAAGCCCTCCAAGGGACCTGGTTGGCCTGAGGAGGCTCACAAGTGGTGTCCCCCGTCCCTAGGTGAGACCCCCAACAGGCAAACCTGCCTGGAGGAGGCTCTGAGTCCCCAGCAAGCGCTGAATGTGAGAACTGGACATTTTCCTAATAACAGTAGCTGCAGTTGGCCTGGATAGGGCATGCGCCGTGTGCCCATACTGTTGGGGGAGGCAGCTACTAGGGAATCACTAGGATGCAGGTTGAAGCCCTGCCATCATTGTGGGGATTCAGACTAGGGAACTGCAGTTCCGCATGCTTCTACAGCCCGCGGGCCTCTTAGGGGCCAGAGATGCGGGGTTCCTGCCTAGCCTCAGGTACTGGCTACTCCTTGGGAGTGGGACTTGCCCTTGAAAGTAAAATACCGTCCACAAGAAGGCATTTGGAGTAGGCTCTGGATGAGCACTACAGGCGGATTCCACCCTTCGCCTGGGGGCGAAATAAATGGCTTAGAGTCCTACGTTGGGTTCCAATTTACCCAGCTCGGGGCCAAGGCATTGGAGAAGGGGCGGGGGAAGGGGACTGACCTTCCGGCGAGGACAGCCTGGGGAGCGCGGAGCTGGCGGCACTGGGGAGAAATGGCACTGTCTGTGCCTGGGTCCGGTGGAAGAGGAAGAGAAGGCCACTGCCCACACGAGATGGAAAGAGGGCGCGCCGGGTTGTCGGTCCGGGCTGGGGAGGGAGAAGGTTAGCGGCAGATAAGTAAGGTGAATAGAAATCGGGGAGACCCGGGGCTGCTTTTCTGCGGCGTCCCCAGCCACCACGGTGATCAGGGAAGGGCCGCAGCTCCCGCGAAGACAAAGTAGCGACGCCAGGGCGCAGGGCCGCTGGAAACGAAGTCGCACAGCGCCCGTCCTTCGGAGGCTGGGTCTTGGCGCTGAAGCCGGGTCATCGGTTTGTTCAAGACGTGGGCGCCCAGATGGCGAGGAAGTGGATGGGCAGTCTGTCCAGAAAGGGCGGCCCGGAGGAGGCTGCCCGCCGCGCCTGGGCACGTGGGCCACAGCTGGCTCACATCTGTGCGCACGCAGGGCCTCGGCTGGCCACTGCTGGCCGGGGCAGGGCGCAGGCGCCAACTAGCGGTGGCTCCCGCGACTGCCGCTGCCCCGGAGGCCCCAGAGGCCTTGGGCTGGGGACCCATTCGCCAGCCACCCGCGTCTCCGGCTTCCGGCACCCTAAGGCAGCGAGCGCCCTCCGGAGGGTCGGGGCCTCGCCAGGTTCCCCGGCGGGTCCCCGGCTCTCAGGAAATCCGCTTGTTACCCAGTCCTGAGGTAGTAATCAGGCGGAGGAAGAAGTGAAGGGCACGGCTGCAAACTGAAACCGCTCGAGGAATCGAATTTACAAACCCCAGAAGCCGCGAGCCGCGGCCCTAGAGCCGCCGGAGGGCAGCACGGGTCGCCCGCCCGGGCCCAGCGCCATACCTGGCCTCCAGGGTGGAGTGGACTCTCCCCTGGGAAGCTTCCGGAGGTCCGCCAGCCAAGGGCCGCATCCCTCACTTTCCTCGGGTTGTGCAGCTCCTGCAGCCGGCGCTTCCGAGGGCGCAGGGGTCCTGGCCCCCCGAGGCTGACAGCTTCTAGCTGCAGGCTCTCAAAGCTGGTTCAGGCACGTTCCCTCGCGGTCCCTGATTTCCTGGTGGGCGAGAGGCTGGTATGGGGCCCACACAGGAACGCATTCTCCAGGGCGTTCGGGTTGGACCGGAGTTCCGTCCCCTGGACCACACGCAGGACTCAATTTCGTTTGGCGACAACGAAATGTCGTGTGCTTGTCGCGGATCAGGTCCTGGGTGGGATCTTGCAGCCTCCTTGAGCCCTACAGCTGTTCTCTTCCAGAGGCTTGGAATTCGTTGCTTTGCACGAGCCCAACTCCAGAGGCAACGAAAGTCCAATGCCCTCTCCAAAGGGGCCTGGAGACTCGCTTGGCGCCAGTGCCCTAGGGTCCCGAGAGTACGTCTGAGGGGATACTGCCAGCAAATAAGGGTTTGGTCTTCCCTGTCCCCTGCTCCCTGCAGCGGCCCGTCCCTTAGGCAGGGGAGAAAGTAGGAGAGACGGGGCGTGTCTGCGGGGAAGCAGGGGAGTGGGATCAGGGACCCAGGACCGAGAAACAGGGCGGTCCATGGTCCTGCGATGCTCCGGAGCGCACGGTCCAAGGCTTGGATCCGCTGGGGCCACTCTCCAGGCCCACGCGGGGAGCACATTGATCTTCCACAGAGACTGGGGCCGACGTCCTGGCGGCCACTCCTCGCCGTTTCTCCCCGGCCATGGACGTGCATCCAATTCCAAGATGCAGGACAAGGGTTCAGCGTGGAGGGGACAGCAGGCCCCGTGTGGTTTTCACAGCGTCATAGGTCGCTGCAACGAAGCACTGGGCCCCAAAGGCCTGCACCTTGTGACATTTGTTTTGAGGAAAGAGCGGAGAGGGTCGGGGTTGTGAGCCCTTGGGGGACCCCCTTGCCTGTCCCTAGCCTGGCATAGGGACCCCGAGGCCGACACCAAGGCTGTACCAAATGGGGAGCCTGTAGAGGCCACCAGACGGCAGTGGGCTCCCCAGTGCGATGCAGGCTCTTGGCGCAAAGCAAGTTGCGGGACCAAAGCGCGCGGGCACAGTTTCCTTGGGGAGGTTCCTCGCGCCCCTTGGCAGGTCTGGGCACTCCGCATGCCCAGGGCGGGATCCTGGCCTCCTGGGGAAGGAGCGATGGAGCTCAGAGAGCAGGAGAGAACGGGGGCTACGGTCCCGCGACCCTGGAGGGGGGCTGCCCAGAAGCTCCCAACGACTTGACAGATTCGGTGCCCGGCTCTTTCGAACTCCCGGGGCCCCGGGGCTGCCACGCCCACGGCTGCCTCTCGGGGCCCCGGCTACCTCGGCAGGGCGGGGCGTGCGTCGCTCCCCGCGGGGCGGCCCTGGCGGGGCCCGGCCTCCCCCCACGAGGGGCCGGCGAGGCGGAGTTCCGATTGGCTGCGCGGCGCGTCGCTCGGGCCGGCCCCGCCCCGCGGGCCCCCGGCTACTAACCCCGCGCCGGGGACCGTGGCGCCGCCACTTGATTCTCTAGGATTTTCGCTCCGGGGCTGTGGCGGCCGCCGAGTGGTGGGGCGGGCGGCGGCGGAACAGCCCGCACGGGCCCCGCTGCGGCGCACGCAGCCGGGACCGCCAAGAGGAGCGGCCCGCGCGCCCGGGGATGCGGTCCTAGTGGGCGCACCGCGCGCGGCCGTCGGGGCAACGAGGCCTCGCGGCGGCCGGGCCCCGGAGGCGACGGGGCAGCCCCGGGCGCCGCCCCCTGCGCCCTGAGGCCCGGGACGCGCCGCCGCTTCTGCTTTCCCGCTTCTCGCGGCAGCGGTGGCTGAGGAGACGCCCGCGCCGGCCACCCCGGGGCAGCCGCCGCAGCCGCCGCCCCGCGCGCCCTGACGGCCGCTGTTATGCGTATTCCCGTAGACCCGAGCACCAGCCGCCGCTTCACACCTCCCTCCACGGCCTTCCCCTGCGGCGGCGGCGGCGGCGGCGGCAAGATGGGCGAGAACAGCGGCGCCCTGGGCGCACAAGCGACCGTGGGGCCCGGAGGGCGCACCCGGCCGGAGGTGCGCTCGATGGTGGACGTGCTGGCAGACCACGCGGGCGAACTCGTGCGCACCGACAGCCCCAACTTCCTCTGCTCCGTGCTCCCCTCTCATTGGCGCTGCAACAAGACGCTGCCCGTCGCCTTCAAGGTGAGTGCGGCCCGGAACGGAGGTCACGGCCGCGGGGCTCCGACCGGCTAAGCGGGCGAGGGTGGGGGACCGCGGCTGTGAGGAGCGGGAAAGGAAAGCGCTGGAGAATCCGCTACGCCGGTGCCTACGCGGGCATCGCGCGCCCAGCCCGGGGACCTCGGCATCGTTGCCGGGACGCGCCCCAGCAGCGCGAGGTTCAGGGCTTGTGCCCCCTCTGCCTGGGCTCCGTAGAGACGTTGGTGCAGAAACGCTCTGGTTGGGATCCCGGGGACACGATCCCCAGTGGCTACTGGGCAGAGAGGCTCCCCGGGACCAGGGGGAGGACCTCCAAGGTGGGGAGCTGGGAGGGAGGCGGGCGGGCCTAGCCTTGCCTCCTGTGCCTGTTCAGAAGCACTTCCTGCTCACGACAGCTTTTCTGGGCTTCCGAAATTTTACCCTGGGCGACCCTAAGCCACGCTCCGTGCCCGCCCCCACCTCCTGCGCGCGCCTTTGCCGCCAGTGTGTCCTCCGCCCGGGTGTCCTCCGCCCCGCGCGGCGCCCCGGCGGCCCCCCAGGCTCGGAGGATCCTTTAGCCGATGCCGGAGAGTAGGCGACTGTTTCATTTTCATTTGTTTAAGGGGGCAGCGAGATGAAACGAAAAACGCCTTGGTTTTCCCCTAAACCTCTCACAGCTGCCGTGAGAAAAGGCAGAGCAGGAAGGGCCGGGGCCGCGGCTGCGTGGGGGCTGGGGGACCCGGGGGTGTCGAGGTGGCTGGAAAGCGCTGCGACCCCGCAGCTGAGGCCGTCCTCGCGCCCATTAAGACGGCTCCAAATTGGAAGAAAGGATATGTGAGTGGCTTTTTGAGGTCTCCCGGGCGACATCTTAAAATACCAGTGGGGAAACTCTCCCGCGGAGGAGGGGGAGGCCCGGGCGACTTTCATCGTCAGATCGGAGGCTTGACTGTCACTTGGAGCTTAAAAGGAATCTTTGAAATTAAAAGAAGACAGGATGTTGACAGGAAATCTGGCCTTTTTAATCAGACCCCAAACATGTCTCCTTGAAATCTCTACCATCTGGATCCCGGGTCCCTGCGCACGCGGCCAGCACGCTCAAGTGGCTGCGACTCTGATCCCTTTTCAGGAGGCATCTGGGCTGGGGGAAACGGTGTGGAGAGGGATTTCCCTGCCCCTACCCTGCAATTCCCAGCAGGTGCATCTTTCTCTTATCAAAAGCTCCCTCCCCCCGCCGTCTCCCCACCCCGCAACACGCACTTTAAAGGGAGTTTCTGGGAGGACCACCCTCTCAAAACACTAGTTTATTTAGCATTTTGCATTTTTCCCCCTGCCTAACAAATTCAGGCCCTGTAGAGCCCGATGGCTGGGGCCTGGGCCACATTTGGGGACCACATTGCAGCCCTTGCGTGAAGTGAATGCGGGGAGCCATCCTGTTATGATTCTTGTTGATATTCTTTTGACTTGGTGACCTGGTTGCTAGGCGCATGTTGATTCCTCTTTTGCTGGAGCAGACGGCAAGAGGAACTGCCTCTCACACCATGACGGACGGAGCTGACTCGCGGCTCTCTCGTCCAGCTGTCAGCAGAAAGCAGGATTTCTTGGGACCCGGGTTGACCAGTGGAGCCAGGAACTTGGGATGCCCAGCTGTGCTTCTGGCTGCTTTCTGTTTTCTTTGGGGGCAAAGGCATTGCTCTCCCTTCCCCAGCGCTCCTTGGAAGAATCCGCAGTGCAGTGCCATGAACCCGCCCAGCCCCTCCTCCCCCTTCGCCTGCCCTCTCCTGCCTTGCTCAGTGGCTTCCCTATCCCCTTGTCCTCAGGTGGTGGCGCTGGGGGATGTGCCCGATGGAACCGTGGTAACTGTGATGGCCGGCAATGATGAGAACTATTCGGCTGAGCTGCGCAACGCCTCAGCGGTCATGAAGAACCAGGTGGCCAGGTTCAATGATCTGCGCTTCGTGGGCCGCAGCGGACGAGGTGAGGATTCGTGCTGTCTGGTAGTGGCCATGGCAAAGGTTAGGGGAAGAAGGCTGAGAGGGATAGAGCCCCCCACCCCTGCCATGCACCCATCTGTCCTCCCCGGAAGCTCCAGAAGCAGGTCTGCAGGCCCAGCTGGGTCCACAATGGCCTTGATCATGCCTGAGGGGGCTCCAGACCTCTTTGAGGATGTTTTTTGTCTCCAGCTAGAAAAGACACTGTTATTTGCCAATTTCTGGCATTTACTAACTCCTGCAGCCTTCCACACCGTCCCCTTGCAACCCGCAACTCATGAGGCCCCCCAGTCTTGAATGTTGCTATGTGATGATGGCTTAGCAAGCCCAGAAAGGTAAGGGGCTTGGAGGACCAGTAAGTGCTTGGCCAGGGAAACGCATAGCTGCTTTTCCATCACAGCACGGGCTCTGCACTCTTCCCAGGCCACCTCTCCCGAGCTGTGCCCTCCCGGACACACAGTTATCCCAGCCCCTAGTAAAGCCACAAGGAGCCCCGTAGGATACCGAGCGTTAGGAAATGCGGTCTGCGAGCTGCCTACTCCGGCTCACTTTGGTTGGCAGGCTGGCAGGAGCCACCGTGGCTGTTGCCATCAGGACCTGCTTAGTGAGAGGCTGCTGAGAGCGGAGACCATCACTTAGCTCCTGGGGAAAGAAGTCGCAGAGCCCCTGCCCTCGCTGCGGGCGTGGTAGAGCCACAAGGGTCCCCTGCCGTGGTGAGGCTAAAGCCGGTCATCATCCTGCCCTAGGCAGGCAACCCTCCAGCACGGTTAGGATTTCAAGTGCACCATTCCCCGGGCTCCTGGGCTCCTGGGCTCAGTGTCCCGGGCAGAGGAGGCTGAAGCAGAATTACACTTTTCATCACCAATAAGCGAGACCTGCTCTGGGCTTTGGCTTCCCCCAGTCTCCAGCCCTGCACTGAAGCGGGCATCTGGGCACCATTTCTATTTTTCAGCCACTCGATGTATACGTCCAAATGTCAGACATATTTTGACTTTTCAGCATTAATTAAAACCAGGGCATTATTTGCATGTAATAACTGTTTACTTGTTACTTTTTATGAAACTGAAATAGTTTACATTCTTTCAAACATTTCCTGTTCCTCTTGGCTCCCTTCCCCACGCACAGATTTCTTTCAAACGTTGCCCTTAACTGGTTGCAGGTTGATGGATGGAAAATGTTTGCTTTTATGAATTAAGCTTTCATTGCTGCTCCTAATTAGTCTCCAAGCCCCTTTTGTCATCCCCAATCTCTCAAACCCTTTGCAACTTAATCCGAGCCCCAGCCCTCGGGTGTCGGTGTGGCTGCGGGTTGGTGGCGATGGGCGGTGAGCGGGAGGCGGCAGGCAGGCAGGCAGGCAGGGCTGATCCAGGTGAATGTGTGTTGCCCTGGAAATGCAGACTGGCTGCCGCCCCCTGGCGAGCCCGTCCCAAGAGCACAGCGGGGCATCAGGGACGGGGTGTTCCTTCTCGATGCCCCCTCCTACCTTGGAAGGTGGGATGTGGACGGGGAGTCTGGTTTTGCTGAGAGCTGGTCTGGCCAGTCAGTGAAAATGATCTCTTTGTGGCCTGAGCCCATGGGGCCGAGGGAGGGGAAGTCCAAAGCCGTGTTGGACAGCACCAACTTGGCAGGCAAAGCCAAGGCTGGAGACTTGTATGCTGAGCTTACACGCCGTCCTCATGTCCACTCCCTTCCCAGTCTCGGGTCCTGGCAGGGGGCAGGGCTGGTGGACCAGGCTGCCAGGCTTCGGGATTGAGGGACTTCAGGGCAGTGAATGTCTGGGCTCTGGACCTGGCCCACTAGGGTTTCACTGTCACCAACCTGGCTAGTGACAGGCAAGGTGCCTTTGGACAAATGGTTTCATCTCTCCTTATGCGTTTCCTCCTCCAAGAAGGGGATCAGGGCAGGGCCTGTTCCGGAAGGATTCCTCAGTGGGCATACAACGAGAGATGGGTGCCTGTTAGATTGTGTCACTGCAGATGCTTGGGGCTGGGGGCGGGCTTTGAGGTCCCTTTGAGTGGTGACAGTCACTGATTCTGTGATTATGGTGCGGTTTGGGCGGGGGTGGGGGAAACCCAGAAGGTGTGAACTGTGGAGTGGGAGAGGTGGAGGCGGCTGGCAGGGAGGAGGGAGGGAGCAGGGTCCGAGATGTAGGGCTGAGCCCGTCCTGCCCTGCGGACCTGCCGCCTCAGAGAAATCTGATCCCATCAGGAGCTGGATGGGACGTGAGTCCCAAGCCCTTCCTGGCTCTCTGACAAGGCCAGGAATCAAATAGAAACTTCTGCAAGTTCTTTGATTTTTTTTAGTTTCTCGATTGAATCTGAATTCCAGGAAGATAGCCTCCCATGAAATACACACCATAAATTTTTAAGAAAGAGATTTATTTAATTATTAGAAAGGGAGAAGTAGAGAGATAAGAGTCTTCCACCACTGGTTCACTACCCACATGGCCACAATGATCAGGGCTGGTCTCAGCAAAAGCAAGGAGCTTCTTCTGGGTCTCTCATGTGGGTGGCAGGTGCCTGAGCAGTGCGGCCATTCTTTACCTCTTTCCCAGGCCATTACAGGGAGCTAGAGGGGAAGTGGAACATCCAAGACTCTTAACCAGTTGGCACACCCACATGGGAGGTGACTACACGTTGTTTTCATTGGGCTAAAAGTGTGAACCAAGAAAAAGGGTGGGGGGAGAGAGGAAAGCCATGTCACCTGACTGTGGGTTTCTGCAGTGATTACAGTATACTTTTTTTTTTTTTATTGGAAAGGCAGATATACAGAGAGGAAGATCTTCCGTCCTATGATTCACTCCCCAAGTGAGCGCAATGGCCGATGCTATGCTGATCTGAAGCCAGGAGACTCTTCCGGGTCTCCCACGCGGGTGCAGGGTCCCAAAGCTTTGGGCCATCCTCGACTGCTTTCCTGGGCCACAGGCAGGGAGCTGGAAGGGAAGAGGGGCTGCCGGGATAGAACCGGTGCCCATATGGGATCCCGAGCGTGCAAGGCGAGGACCTTAACCACTTGCGCCACCGCGCCGGGCCCCAGTATACTTTTTTAAAAAGATTTATTTTATTTTTATTTGAAAGACAGACTTACAGAGATAAAAAAAAAAAGATGCAGAGAGAGACAGAGAAAGATCTTTCATTCTTTGATTCACTCCACAAATGCCTGCAATAGTCAGAACTGAGCCAATCCAAAGCCAGGAGCCAGGAACTTCCTCCGGGTCTCCCATGTGGGTACAAGGACCTAAGAGCTTGGACCATCCTCCACTGCTTTCCCAGGCTAGTAGCAGGGAGCTGGATCAGAAATGGATCAGCCAGGACAAGAATCGACACCTGAATTGCTTCCCTGGGGGACACAGAGGGGGATGCTGGCGGCACAGGCAGATGCCTGGCTTACTATACCATGGCACTGGCCCCCAGTACATGTTTAGTAACCCCACCCTCTACCATGCATCCTACCATAAAATTCACAGGTTTTGTCACCCACCTCCTTATGCACCATTTCTGAATCTTGTAGCTTTGATGTAAGGGAGGAAGAGGAAGATGCTTTCTAAAATAGGGTCCTCTGCATATGCCGTTCTTTGAAGGGACCAAGACCTGTGTAAGAGCCCCCTCCACCCTCCCTGGCCAGGGTAGGTGGAATGCATGTCTGAGTGTGGCCTGGCCATCAGGGCCATGTTCTTGCAAGTTTTGAACTCTCAGGAAAGCCCTGAATGGCACCAAAAAGGAAAACCAGGGCTGTCCTCGCTCTTGTCCAGGTAGAGAGGAGTTGGAAAAAGACCCATCACCAAATGTTCCCTAAACCGAGTGAGGGGTGGGCATGGCTCAGAGCCCTCCCAGCCAAGAGGGAGTCCTCCATGGCCCACCTGCTCCCTACCAGATACCCCAAGCAGTGGAGCCACTATCCTGGATGAGGAGCACGGATGTGAGCCCCTGAAGTGTCAGTAACCGGTTAGAATGCCAAGGGTGCAGACAGACTTTGAGTGTGAGATGTGTGCAGTTTAGGGAGAAGGGAGGTGGCTACTGGATCCACGTGGTGAAACCTAGAGGATCCCAGAGATGGCGAGACAGCTGGCCCCTCAGCTACCCAGGCAGCTCCTGGTATGAATGTGGGTCGGGGGTGGAGGAGGGCTTGTCACGTAGGATCCCAGGGCAGAGACCCAGGCTCCTGCCCCACTGAACCTGTTGGGTAGCCCAGGGCCCTGAGGCCCTTGGGAGCCTTAGAAGTATCAGGACATTCAGAGCCCCCAGGGGGCACCTACATCCCAGACTTGAAGCTCCATCATCCGCCGGCTTGGGGACTCCAGGCCAATTGCCAGTTTGCCCTGGTCCCTGGGGAGTTTTCCAGCTGGAGAAGAGGTTCTGAAGAGATGCCAGCAGGTGCAGGGAGTAGGAAGGGTAAGGAGTGGGTGGGCTGAGGGGGTTCGAGATGGAGGGTCCAACAGCATAAAATCAAAGGGCTTGTCCTGGGAACTGATGCTGTGAAAATATGGCCAGAAGGTGTCTTAAAGGGGCAACTGTGGCAAGTTGCTGCTTTGGTCCGTGTATTAATAGCGAGGGCTAGCGGCAGGCAGGTGATGAGTGATTATGGAGTGACAGTCAGAAAGGATGTGTCGAGCATCCGCAGTGACTGTAACGTGACAGGTGAGCGTCTGTGACGGCCACTGGCCGCAGGGTCATGGGTATGGCCAAGAACCCCGGTGGGCCTTGCTGCCACGTTCTTCCGTAAGACAGAGAGGTTAGCGACAACACCTGTGTTTTCCCTTGATGTCCAGATAAGGTGGTCAGGAACAAAGTGCATTTTTTAAAAAAGATTTTTAATTTTTATTGGAAAGTCAGATATACAGAGAGGAGAGACAGAGAGGAAGATCTTCCATCCATTGATTCACTCCCCAAGTGGCCACAATGGCCCGAGCTACACCAATCCAAAGCCAGGAACCTAGAGCCTCCTCCAGGTCTCCCATGTGGATACAGGGTCCCAAGGTTTTAGGCCGTCCTTTACTGCTTTCCCAGGCCACAAATAGGTTGCTGGATGGGAAGCGGGGCCATATGGGATCCTGGCGTGTGCAAGGCAAGAACTTTAGCAGCTAGGCTACTGCGTTGGGCCCAAGGAGGTGCATTTCAGTGGTCACCTTGCTGCATGGGGCAGGGGCCCCTGGTCCTGGGTGTCTGGAGTGCCTCTTGGGTTCTACCCTCATGAGTGCCCATCAGTGTGGTGCCTCATGGGATCCCTAAAGAAGGTCCTGGCTGGGGGAGGGGGAAGGGTCCCCCAGGGAAGTGACTCAGGAAGGGCTGGCAGGAGGAGCCCAGCCCACCTCCTGGTCCCCAGCAGTCTAGCTGTCTGCATTTCCTCTGTGCAGTGAGGGGCTGGGTCTTCCAGGGCAAGCAACTGCAGTGCCTCTCACACTCTACAGCCACACCCCAGCTTCTCCCCCACCCCCACATCCCCTAGCATCTTGGGAGCCCTGGGGGTCCTTTGGTGTTTTGGGGGGTCTCCGGCAACCTGGCTGCTTGAATTGTGTGTTGGATCTCCTGGTTCTGGGGGAGGAGTGTCCTCTTGACCCCTCGAGCAGGTGCGAAAAAAATCCCTTGAGCAGCGGTTGTTATCCCCTCTTCTTCTCCTACCTGCAAAATTGGGGTCCTGTGACCCGCTGCACGACCCTGCAGGGGACACTGGGTGCCTCAGTCCTCCCCAGGATTCTGCCCTGAAGGAGTCCTGGACCTGTGATTGGATGTAGGAGACACATGCAGGTGCATAGACGGGGCGGGGTGGAGGGGTTGTCCCATAAAGGCTTAGGACTGTAAAATAATAGTATGGGGAATTTTTTTTTTAAAGGTTTTTTTCTTTGTTTATTGAATGGCAGAATGACAGAGAGAAAGAGCGATATTCCATCTACTGGTTTACTCCCCAAATGGCTACAACGGCCAGGGTCGGGCCAGGCTGAAGCCAGGAGCCCAGAACTTCAGGCAGGTCTCCCATAAAGGTAGCAGGGGTCCAAGCGCTTGAGCCATCGCCTGCTTCCGCCCAAGGTTCATTAGCACGGGGCTAGATCAGAAGTGGAGCAGGCCGGACTCAAGCCTGCACCCACTAGATGCCATTATTGCAGCCCTGTACGCGGAGATTGTTATCAAGGCACTAGGCAAATTGGTTTTGCCAAATTTGCCAGATTATTTTTTTAAAAGATTTATTTATTTTTATTGGAAAGACAGATTTACAGAGGGAAGGAGAAACAGAAAGATTTTCTGTCCAGTGATTCACTTTCTAAGTGGCCACAATAGCCAGAGCTGAGCCCATCCAAAGCCAGAAGCCAAGAGCTTCTTCTGGATCTCCTGCATGGGTGCAGTCCCAAGGCTTTGGGTCGTCCTCTACTGCTTTCTCAGGCCACAAGCAAGGAGCTGGAAGGGAAATGGAGCAGCCGGGATTGGAACCGGCATCCATATGAGATTTTGGCTGTGCAAGGCTAGGACTGAGTGTACCGCACTGGGCCATAAACTCACCAGTTTTAGCCCCTCTGACAATGCGGTGAGAAGTAGAGGGTGCAGAGAACATTGTCAACTGCAAGGAGGCTTTGACCTTCGGCACACCTGTCAGCCCCAAGTCCATAGAGCAAGTCCGGATCGCCGGCTGGAGTTGAACCAAGGAACAGCCCGGGGTCATCAGGTGGCCTGTGTAGGCTGCTGGCCCGGGGAGGCTGACTCCTGCTACCTCCCTAGTGTCTCCAGGACAGTGGGCTGTAAAACGCATTCAGCCTCCACAGGAGCTGTGTTGGACTAGGACGGGTCACAGCCAGGAGAAAAGCTCCTGCAAGGGCTGGAAGGAAGACCAACAAGATAAGCGCATCTCAGAGATCTTGCACCTGATACGGGCGCTGGCGCTGCTCTGGCTCTGGGAGAGGAACGCCCGCAGATACGCAGACACGTCCTGAGTATCTGCGGTGACGTCATTGCTTGCTGCTTCTTGGAATCCTTGCTAAGGAGATAAGCAGAGATGCAAAGATTTTCATATACAGAAGGCCACTTTCATTTTATTTTAAAAGCAAATAAAAAATATATATATATATATAGTATTATTTCAAGTTACCCCCTTCCACCCCATCTCAGGAATTTTGAATGGAGACTTGGGAGCCAAATGTCTGTCTAAAAATAGAACAGGGCTCTGGAAATAGCAGTTGTGTCTGCAGATGAAATGTCTGCGGCTCCTGGATCAGGCCCTTTGCAAAGATCTACTGCCTGCACCAGGGGAAACGAGTGAGGGAAGGTGGCTACCTGCAGCACGCAGCCTCCAGGAGTGGCGGGGTCTCACAGCTGTTTGCGCACGGCATTGTGCACAGATGTGGGAAAACACTGCCGATGAGATTTTAAGCGGGAACAAAAGCAGGGTCCAAAAACTAGGTGTGTTAGCATCCTCCTGCTCAGGAAGAGTCCCCGGGCTCATACCCAAGGATCGGAGGAAGAAACACTCTAAGGAATGCCGGGTTTGGTCCCAGACTCTAGAACTCTGGGCATGGTGCTTCTCGTCCGTCTGCGTTTTCTGTGCTTGTAGAATGTTCTGCCAAGATCACACCTCGTTTTCAGAGAAAATAGCTCTTTAGGTACTCATGCTAGTTTCCTGTGCCCGTCTCACACGTGCCTCTGCATTGAAGGAATGGCACAGAGGGTGGCCAAGACACAGAGAGGAAAGAGTAAGTCCCTGGGCCAGAGCCTGGGGGACAGGGAAGAGTCCACAGAGTGAGGTGAGAAGTAGAGGGTGTAGAACCTCCCCCCCCCCCGCCCACTTCTCCCCCAGAGCCTCTTCTGTCCAGACAGGTTCAAAGGACAGAGAGCTTCTTGGGAGTTAGCGGCTTCCAGCTGGGGTCCGGGGGTGCCAACCTCCCACCTCTCTCCCTTGCTTCTCACAGGAAAGAGTTTCACGCTAACCATCACTGTATTCACCAACCCCACCCAAGTGGCCACCTACCACAGAGCCATCAAGGTCACCGTGGATGGACCCCGGGAGCCAAGACGTAAGTGAGCCCCAGGCCGGGGCGTGAAGGGAATTGCAACCCCAGGCTGTAGGGGCCTAGACCCAAGATTTAGGGCTGAGAACCAAAGGCAAGAGCAACGTGGTGGTGAGATCACTTCCGCCATGGAACAACCACTCACGGGGTTGAGCAGTGAAGGTGTCAAGAAAAGGAAAAGGTGGGGCCAGCTTCCGGAAAGGGGGGTGTTTGTGGTGCATGTGGGGGTGGTGGGGATGAAGATGAGGCCTCCACAGTTTTCTCCACCTGTGGCTGGGAGATGCATGGGAGCCTGCCCCTGCAGTGGTGCTGCCCACCAGGGAGGTTGGGGGATGCACTGGTGATCCCACACACACTGATTGAGCACCTACTGTGTGCAGAGAATGTGCTTCATTCCTGCTGCCCACTGCAGGGGAGGTTGGGAACATTTGGTCTGTGTTGGCCAAGGGAGTGAGTGAGTGAAGTGTGGTGTCTGTGGGCTGGGGGATGGCTGCTCCCTCAGCTGACCTGGGACCCCTGGCTGTGGTATGGGGAGCCGGGCTGGTCTGTTTGTGTAAACTATGACCCTTTGCAGGTTACCATCCTTTGCATGTGTTGTCTCCTGGGCTTTAGTATTTGGTATCTGTTATGGTGTTAGCAGAGCCGAAGGGTCACCTACAACCAGGGCTGCAGGGACCCAGGCTGAGACAGTTGGGTGCCTGGCCAGCACCCCAGCTGCATAGCTGCTGGGCTGGGTACTGCAGGTTGAGGTCTGCAGAGCCAGCCTCCCCTTCTGGCCAGGTGGGCCTGGTACAGAAAGATGAGCTCCTGGTGTCACCTTGGTGCCTGGCAAACTAGGGCAGGAATGTGGCTGTGCCAGGGATACCCAGGCCTGGCATTGCCCAGCTGTGCCCCCCTGGTATGTTAGGGTCACCCCATGTACCTTGCCAGAGGTGGGTGCTCCTCAGGCCTGTAGCAGCGACTCACAGTCAGGATCTGCTTCAGCCACGTACCTGCCCACTGCTTTCCATCAGAATGGACATGGGCAGGGCCGTGCCCTCAGCCTCGGGCTTTGCCACCTGCAGAGAATCCCATCTCCTCTCTGGTCTCAGTTTTATCATCTTAGGACTGGGTCAGTGGCCCCCTTTGGGTCCTTGTGACTCAAGGAGGATGACCGTGGCACAGAGAGCAGGTGGTGAGCTAGCTGGTCTTGGGCAGGTTGCCTCTGTGCCTTGTCTGGAACATGGGCACTACACTAGAGCTATGCCAAGGTGCCGTTGGGAGGAGAGAATGTCTTCATGTGCATAAAGTGCTCACATGGTGGCAGTGCTTGCTGGTGTATTTGCTGAATGACCTTGGCTGTGACACTGACCTCTCTGGGCCTCGACCCCTTCCTTCATGAAGTGCAGAGATGCTGCCCACCAGCAGGCCTGGCAAACAGTGGTGATATATGGTCACAAGTGGCAGGAGTAGATGGAGGGTTCCTGGGAGCCCATGGGGTTCTCAGCATGGGGCCCCTGCCCCCTGCGCTCCTGTGGGCACCCTTAGGTAGCAGCGAATGGGGCCGTGGTTGGGCGCTGCGGGACGTGGTGTGGAGGAGCCACTCTGCAAAGAAAGGAGAACTTGCTGTTAGAGGCACTAGTGCCAGGGGTCCTGGGGCTGCATGAGAGGTTCCCAAGGGGCCAGCAACACCTGTCCAGAGCTGCCTGCCCTCCCCTCTCCTCCACTGAAGCCCCTGGACAAGTGTGAGACTCGACCCTACCCCAGGGAGCCCCTAGCTGGACCTGCTGCCTGCTCCTCTCCCTGGTGAATCCTAGGCCCCAAACAGCCCCCAGAAAGCCATGTAGCAGCAGGAAGGGAGAAAGGTCGGACTGAGAGGCAGGAAGCCAGCTTGCTGTGTGACTCAAGGCAAATGGCGTCCCTTTCTGGGCCATGGCAGATTGGTAGTATTGCAGTGACTTGCACAGAGAAAATCTTAGAACTGAAGGGGGAGGTATTCTTGCGCTCTCTGGCACCACAATCCCAAGTTACAATTCAGCACCTTGGCTCCAGCCTGCACCTGGCCTCTAGCCTCTCCCTTCCTGGCCGTGGGTGGGAGGTGGGAGGCCAGCTCCCAGTTGCAGCTCCTTGAGCAGCTCTGGAATACAGTGTGCAAAGTCTCTGGGAACTGATCCTCCACAACCAGGAGGCCAAGCCATGGCGGGGGCTTCTGTGCAGCTCAGGGCCCTTATTGCCTCAGCGTGCCTGTCTGTAAAGTGGACCTCGGGCTGTGGCTGTGAGGGTTCCATGCAATGCTTGCTGCCTGGTCACAGGAAGTGCCTGGCAGCCCAGGGAGTGTCTCTGCCTGCTGCACTCCAGGATCTCCTCTTGGGGCTTGCTTCTTCTGAGGCTGCTGCAGAGCAGGCCCGGTGGCTGGTCCTGGAGCCAAGGCAAGGGCCCCAGAGATCCCTGAGGCCCAGCAGTGGGTTTTGTGGCTGCGCTCTTCTCCTCTGGTGCCCTGTGGAGCGTGCCCGACCTGCAGCCAGGTGGCCAGCTAGGGCAGAGGCAGACTTGGTGGCTTCCTGCCTGTGTGGCCTTGGTTTCTGAGGTTTGCAGTGCTGGTGTCCCTCGGAGGTGCTGGGGGCTGGGGACGAAGCTGGTCGTTGAGCCCGGTCCAGGATCCGGAGGAGCTGTGCAGCATCTAGTGAGGACCAAGGCTGGACAGGGCTAGTTCCACTCTTCAGGACCCAGCAGGTGCTGGTTCTGGTACTACCTGAAGCACAGAGCCTGTTTCTGGAATCTTCCTGATGGGCCCTTTCTTTCCCCAAAGTGCACAACGTGGGATGATTCCAGCAAATATTTTCCTGGGCACCAACACGGCATCAGGCAGTATTCCACATGTTGGCAATGGCAACGTGTACCCAAAAAGGGGGTTGCTGCCCTGTTAGGGCCCACACCCCAGAGCAGGGCAAAGTGGCAAAGAAGTGTTACTGTCACCTCTGCCCTCAAGGTCCCACCCACGTCCTCCATGCCCCTCACCCTTCGGCCTGCCGCTCTGACACCCTCCTCCCTGCCCGCACCACTGGCCTCCCTGGCCTTCTGACTGGTCAGACACGATCCTGCCTCCAGGCTTTTGTTTCTTCTGCTTTAGCGCTCTTCTGCCCTTAGAGGCCTGGCTCAGCCCTCCAACCCTGGAGACCTTTCAGTCCTCGCTGCTGCCACGCTATTTGAGCTTTGCCCATGCACTGCCCTCCCCAGCACACTGCCGCTGTGATCTCCCCGCCGCACCTGCCTGGGCTAGGATGCAGCAGCGTCATCTGCCTGCCCACTTCATTTATTGTTTGCCTCCCTGCCATGTATGCGCTGTGCGGGGTTCCTGCCTCTGCTTGGCTGGCCAGGCCCTGCTGTGGATCCCCGGGGTGCAGACCTGGGTGCTTAGTAGTAGGTGCTCAGCAAGGTTTGAACAGAGCTGGCTCATGGGAGCAGTGAGTAGGAAAACAGCTGGCAGGAAGGCTGGGGGTGCACAGAATGGGCACGGCACTGTGGGGGAAGGCCCACAAGTGGTGATGTTTCAGCAGACTAGGGCCTTGGTGCAGTAGGCAGTGAGAGCAACCCTGCGCCACCTCTGTGGCCACTCGGCTTCTTCCTGGGCCCCCACAGGAGGGAAGGGGTTAAGCTCAGACCTCCCGGGCTCCCTAATCAAGCCCAGGCTGCTGGAAGCCCCAGTCGCAGGCCTGGGAGGGAGCTGCCGCCTCCCTGGCCGCTGGCCCCCCGCCAGCTCCGGCCTTTCATCTGCTCACAGGGGGCCGATTCACGGTGGACCACCCCGGGCCAGCACCCGCTGCCATCCCTGCGGTTGGTGGGAGCCGGGTGTAAATCTCCTGACAGGCCGCAGAGCAGCCTGGCCCCGGCTGCGCACACAGTGGCAGCTGTGTCTGAGCCGCTGCGGCCGCTCCAGGCAGCCATGGAACAGCTTCAGATGGGCCCAGAGCTGAGCCAGCACGCCTCCTGCCTGGCTGCATCCCTGGAAGCCAAGCTTAGCCACCGAGCTCCAAGGAGTGTGTCCCTAACTGTGTGCCTGCACTTTGCTATCTGTAAAATGGGGAGGGGGTACAGCTTGTCAGAAGCGTGTGACCTTGAAGTTGACACACATGGCCCACCTGGCACAGGATCTGCCCCATCAAAGGGTCTTGTGTTGGGCAGCATGTGTTGGGCAGTACTGGTAGGCTCCTGGATCCCACAGAAGCTGCAGATACCTGGTAGCAGGTGGAGCCCTTGCTGGCTGTGTGGATGGGGTACCCCGGGACCCAGACTGGAAGCCATCCTTGTCCTCCTTGGCCAGCTCTGTGTGGCCCTGCCATGTGGTCCTCCTACTCATCCTGCCCCGGGCCCTGTGAATGCCGTGAGAAGGGCGTGTTTGCAGAGTCGGAAGAGGCAGAGTCAGAGCCGGCACTCAGAGCACATCCGGCAAGGCCACATCACAGAGGGGCAACCGAGGCCTAGTGGGATGGGCGACTTACCCAAGACCTTTAAATGGGCAAGAGCTGCCTGGCATGGGCTTGCGGCTCCTGGACCTCGGAGGGGCAAGGCAGGCTGGGGTCTGCTCCCCAAGAAGTGACTGAGGTTGAGGGAGCCCTCCGGGGGCCCAGGCCTGGCTACTGGAGGCAAACAGGTAGCCCCAGCCAGACCCACCAACCTGGGCAGGATAGCAAGGGCTTCCCAGGCGTGGCCCAGCCCCACTCCCCTAATACCTTCCTCTTCACAGCTTGTGGTCTGTCCTCCGGCAGCCACGCCCTTGGGGTTAGGCCGCGTGAGGACCACTTTTCAAGAGGAGGAGGGCTGTGGCAACCTAGTAGAGCAGGACAGGGCAAGGCCCATGCCAGAGGCCTCCAGGACCTCCTCCTCTTCCTCAGCAGGCAGCCTGCACTGGGGGCCCTGACACCCCATTTGGAGCCCTTCATGGTCCAGTCCCAGGCTCTTCATCTGAAAGGTGGGCTCCATGGCAAGCAGGAAGTCAGGTGCTTTCCTCGTGACTTTGAACACATCCCTGACCCTCACGAAACTTGATTTTCTCACCTGCAAATTACAGAACACAGGAGACCTGCTCCCTGGGAAGGCTCTCAGGGCAGGCCAGGCACAGGCATGGGCAGCTCGGGCACCACATGGGACTCAGGCACTGTTCAGTGCTGCCCTATACCAATTCTGTTCCTGCCAGCCACGGCCCTGACTGCAGGACACTCATAGCCAAGTGGGTGGCGGACCAAGAACCCCCACAGGAAGACACAGGGAGAAGCAGCAGGAAGAGGTAGTGATGGGAGAGGCATGAACCTCCTTCCGTCCATTCTGGGGTCCCCCCATCTGATCAGCAGCCAGTCGTACTACCCAAGACCCCGCTGTTGGTGGGAGGAGCCTCGGTGAGAGAGCAGACTATGCTGGCTGGGAAACTGAGGCACAGAGCTGCAGGTGTCCAGGGGAGCCAAGGGTGGCACTGCATACTCCATCTCTCTGTGGGAAATGGCATGAAAGGGCCTTTTCTGAGGGCTGCTTTCTCTCCTCGGGCACAGGAACTTCCGTTCGGCTCCAGCCCCGTGGCTCGGAGACTCTCTGGCGCCTGGGCCACATGCCCTCTGCCCTGCACCCGTCTCCCCCTCCCTCCCCAGCTCCCATCCCAGGCAGGGCTCCCTGGTGCCCCTCCCTGGCGGGGGTGACTGCACAATGCCACAGCCACAGGGAAGCTGAGACCTGTCTCCTCCTCCAGGAAGTCTGTCCTCCTGAGGACAAAACAGCATGTAGTGTATGACCCAGTGCCAGAGTCCCTGGTCCATGGCCTGGGTGCTAGGCCAGCCCCTTAGCTGAGTGGTTCTCTCCTCCTCAACTGGATCCCAAACAGTAGGGAAGAGCACATCAGGCTGGGAGGGTCTGAGTGCGAACTCCATTCAGCCACCGGCCTATGGCAGGCCTGGCATCATCACTGGACTCCCACACCAAGGGGGCGCAGGAGGACACCAGGGACACAGCAATGGCTGGCCATGACAGCAGTGACCTACATGGGAGTCGCCTGGCCACAGGCCTTGTCAGGCTGGCGCCTCCATCTGGGAGGGCAGCATGAGGGGGACCCTGTAGTTCCGGGTGGGGACAGCGAATGTGACTGGAGCTTGGCCCCCGAGGCTACAGGCAGCCTGGTTGTGAACCCCGCCCTGCTTCCGCTGGGCCCTGGGAGGAACCATAAACACTCCGTGTACGCGCAGGGTTGACTCACAAACAGGGGGCCTTATTCACCAGTGCTGGTAAAAACCAGACCTGAGGTTTTGCACCTGCCTTCGTGTAACCCTGTTGAGGCATGCAGGCGACTAAGACACCCAGATCCTTCACATGCAGGCTGCTGTCGGGCCACTGTGGTCTCAGCGGCCATCCAACAAGCCTCCTGCCTGCTGAGCCCATGCTGAACTCACCTGACCCCAGCACATCCCCAGCCCCCTGCCTTGAGTGGGAAACTCTGGCCTAGCCCATTCCAGTCTTGCCACAGTCCCCACCCATCCCGTTCGCCCAGCCCTGTGGGCATCTAACAGCAGCCTCACCCACAGTTTCCCCTCTGTTGCCAGGCATCCTGGGAGGCAGCGGAAGTGGAACTTGGCCACGGCCTTGGTCCCACTGCCAGGTGTCTCATTAGATTTCTGGCTGGGCACTTCATTAGAGAATTAAATGGGGTCCCCTGGTTCCAGGGGGACTTGCCGAAGTCTCTGGGAACTCAGGAATGCCTGCTCCACTTCTGTGGGCTCTGGGATGGCCCTTTGAGCTCACGAGGGCTGTTGGGAGAGCTTGGGGGACCTGCAGGTGCCAGAGTCTATTGGTCATGACAGCCTTTTGCAGAGGCCTGCAGTTGTCCCCATCCCCTGCTGCTCGTGCTCTCCCTAGGAAATTGCCTGTTACTGACAGGACTTCTGTTTCTTCTCCCACCACTTCTCACTTCTTGTCTAGAAAATTCCATGGTCCACCAGACTCTCGCAGTTGGGCAAACCTGCTCTCACCTGTCCTTCTCAGCCCCTTCCTCACACCGCCCTATGGGGGTCCAGGAAGCCCCACTCCCTTCCTCACTGTGTGGCCCCAGACAAGTGAATGTCCAACCAGGCCACCCTGCCCGGCTCCCTCCTTTGGGGGCCGGAGGAAGTCAGATGGGCAGCTGATCTGCCCAGCTCAGAAGTGGCTCATGGCTGAGCCTGTCCTGGAAAAAATCCCAGAACGGGGTATTCCTGCCCATAAGGGATCAGGAGAGGAGATCTGCAGAGCAGTTGTCCATCTAAGCAAGCTGCTGCAGAGTGGGTGTCCCCTCCCTGGGGTGTGACAGGAGGACAGCCAATGTCCCCGCAGTGTCATCTCCATCACAGGCACTGAGCCCTGGCTGTACCAGAGAGGATTCCCCAGCTTTTAAGGGAACCTTGTCATTTCTCTGGAACCATTTGACAGATTAGAAAACTAAGGTTGAGGTCTAAGATGCGCTACAAAGACAGCAAGTTACAGAGTGACACGGCTGGACTGAGGGCATTCAAGACAGCCCTGTGGGGAATTTGCTCAGGATCTGCCACGCACACAAACAAATGATGGCAGCAAGGACTCCCGGGGAGGGGTCTGGGGCGTGGGGAGGGAGAGCCTTCTCAGTAGCATGTGCATTTTGGTGCGTGTTCATGTGCTGTGTGTGATGTAACAGTGAGTCACCGAGGAGTGTGTATGTGTGTGCACACGTGGCAGGAGAGGACCTTGCAAACTTGATGTCAGCCAAGCTGTGAACCCCTGGCCACAGGGAGCGGGGGCGTGGAGGTGAGGGCTATGGCCTGTGTGGGTCATGGCAGAGAGTCTGTGGCCAAGGGGCCTGCATTCTCTCCAGACGTGATGCCCCAAGCCTGTTCTGAGCAGGGCTGGCAGTGCAGTCCATCTAGATGTCCCAGGTTTCCGGCTTACCGCCCACCCCAACCCCTCCCACGATGACCTAGACCTCATGTCTAAGGCCCAAAGAGAAGCAGGGGTTCTGGAGCGGCCAGGATGAGGCTTGGGGCTGGAGCAGTCAGCCTCCTCTCCCGGGTCCCCACAGTCTTGCACATAGGGGTGGAGGGAATGTCTAGGAGGTGGAGGGTGTTGGCTCCCCTGGGAACATGTGTGAGCCATTAACTAGGCCTGGTGTGTCAATTTGCCTTTCTGCTAGAGGCTTCTATTTGGGACCCCAACTCCCAGCTGTGTAACCGTGGGATCCTGGCAGCCCTGGGGAGGCCCAGGTTGACCGGTCTCTGTCTTTTGAGAGCCCCAGAGAAGAGGTTAGTGGTAATATCAGGGTTCTCTCTGCAGCAGCTCCAGGTTAGACCTCAGGGAGAACTTCCTGGCAGCAAGGGCAGCCTCTTCTGGGTCTCCCAGCCTAGAGTCGCAGCAGCTGATGCTCCCTGTGTTCCGCAGGGCACCGGCAGAAGCTGGAGGACCAGACCAAGGCATTCTCCGACCGCTACGGGGACCTGGATCGGCTACGCATGCGGGTGACGCCAAGCACACCCAGTCCTCGAGGCTCCCTCAGCACCACGAGCCACTTCAGCAGCCAGGCCCAGACCCAGATCCAAGGTATGCAGAGGGCGCTGCACATGGTCCATCTGCCACCACTGGGAGCCTCCCACCCCCAGTCATCCACCACATGCCCCTTGCTCTCTGAACCAGCTGATACAGGAAATTGGGTTAACCCCTGGGGATCCCACTGTCTCATTCAAGGAAGTGACAGACTTGTCCCCGCCCTCCCAGCCAGCTTTAGTTTCCCCTTTCCTGGGGTTGGAATGGTGTTCAAGTGATAACCCAGCCCTTGGGCAGACCCAGCCAATCGTAGAGTGCTGCTCTAGTGCTTGCAAAGTCTCCCCAGAGCCAGACCACAGCCATGGATGGGTCTCAGAGGACATGTGATGCCTTGCAGGCACCCAGGAAGGAGCTGGACCCTGGTTCTCTCTGCCGTGTGCCAGGATCTCCAGGGCCTGGTCAAAGCCCCCATGGGGATGGGTACATGGAGGCCTATAAGGTCCCAGGCCAACCTTGGGTCCACCTACCCCCAGGAACATCCTGTACCTCTGAGGCCCCAGGGCAGCAAGGGCGTGGGAGCGGGGCTGCCAGCCTGGCCTCTCGCTCTGCTTCTAGCCCTATGCCAGGCTAAGCTGGGGGTGTGACCTGCTGATGGTGGGGCTTCTGTAGCCCCCTGGGCTCTCCCGTTTTGGACCGGTGCTCAGACCTGGGCAAAGGCCTGAGTCCAGCCTCCCTGAGCCCCCCAGATCAGTAAGTGTGACCCCCAGGGGTCAGACCCACTCCTGCCTCAGTCACCTATCGCAACCCCATCAAGGGCCATTCCCAAGCACTGCAAAATTGAGCCCAGCAAGGCCTGGCACCCAACCAAGGGAGCCCCACCCTCCTTCCACTGGGTATGAATGGTGGCTTCCTGCCCACCAGCTCCTGTGGATGGGAACCCACTTCTACACTTGCAGAGTGGGCAAGCGTGGCTTGGGGCTCAGTGACCATGGGATTCCAAGGCAGACCTGGCCACCTTCCACCCACCCCGCAGTGTGTGGCCCCAGCCAGTCCAGCAGCAGGTAGAGCTGCTGCCTCCGCCAAGGGGTGGGAAGGAGGGGGAGGGACAAGGCCTGCCTAGATAGGCAAAGGAGCCTGAGTCCCCCTCCTCCTGCTGCTGTTGCCTGAGACAGGTTTCCTAGCATCTCCCAGGTCTTTCTCCTCTCGGTGAGGCAGGAATATTGGGAACCCAGGACCACAGGAGGGGCAGGAGTTTTGCAGTAAGACTTCACAAGAAGTCCTGACTATGCTTCACAGTAGCTGTGAGATGCCTGGCACTCACTCTGCTTCTCTGAGCCTGCTGAATAGGCAGGAGGAGGGCCCTGCCATGGAGGGCGCTGGCAGGCCCCAGCTTGGGGAGCCACGCCTGCTGGCCCTGCTTTCCCTCGGATCTCCCCCCACCCCATGCCTGCTCCCCTCAGTGCCTGTTAATGGCTTTGACCTCCAGCCTTGGTCACTGACAAGCAGTGCTGAGGCCCCAGCCCCCCAACTGCAGCCACCCGCAACGGGGGGCGTCTTGCTGCTCAAAGGACTCATTCAGCCACTGTACAGCAGCCGGGGCGATTTGGAGAAGAAAATAAACATCACCTTCCCCTGTTGGGGATGGCTGCTGCACGTGGCCCGGCCAGCTTGGGTTTCCCAGGACTGCAGGGCCAGGAGTAAGGGGGCCTTAGGGAAGCTGCTGGGAGTCTGAGGTCAGGTACTTGCCCTTCCTCACCAGGACCAGAGCAGGAGGGGAAAGCAGCAGGTCCAGGCAGCCCAGCCTGGTGCCCTGCAGCCCCCATGTTGTCTGAGGGCCACACAGCAGGCTCAGGTCCGCCCTGTGCTCCTTGTTGGGGTGCCCCTTGAGAAGAGGGCAGCTGAAGCACGGGCAGCATCCTGCTCAGGGCAGAGTGCCCAGCCTCACTCCTGGGACGTACACATAGCATTCTCCCCAGGGACTCCTGCAAGGGTCCCCATGGCAGATAGGGCAGCCAGGAAACACGTCAAGGAGAGTGGTCCATGACCCTGGGAGGCCAGGCTCCCATCCACACCCTGAGTCCCCACTCAGAGCCAGGAGCGTGGCTTGGGCCTGACCCACACACGGGTCCAGAGCTGCTGGTGCCACGGGAGACCCACGTAGCTGCCCTGGGTGGCCACAACTCTCACCGTGGTCACAGCCTCCATGCTCCGACGTGACCAGCATTGCCCACCTCCTCTGGGATCCTCTCCTGGGCCTCATCATGGGAGGATGAGACAGAGGGGTTGGGGCCAGATAGACTTTACCTGGGGTCCCGTACTGGGGCTGACCCCTCTCTACTACTGAAATCCAGCTCCTGATGTGGGGGCAGGGAGGGGGCAAGGCAGGCTCTGCCTGGACCCTGTATCTCCCTGGGACTGGGTCAGCGCTTTATCTCCAGCTGCAGGCCCAGGACCCCTCTGTACCTGGACAGGAGAGTTTCGACCTGGGCGTGCACCTACTGTGGTACATGCAGCAGGCAGCCAAGGCCAGGGATAAGTTCCTGCCACCAGGAGCCACTGCTGCTCCCCCTGCCTCCCGTCTCCTGATCTGCAGAAGTGGTTGGTCACTGTGGTCTGCTGTTAACTGGGGCCGGGCCTTGATGGGGAGAGTCCACTGTCACACGGATGCTAGGGGGCGCCCCCAGACTCAGAGTTGGTCTCAAACTACACCTAACTGTCCTTCTTGCTGTCCTCCCAGGCACCTCGGAGCTGAGCCCCTTCTCTGACCCCCGCCAGTTTGACCGCCCCTTCCCAGCGCTGCAGACGCTCACGGAGAGCCGTTTCCCAGACCCCCGGATGCACTACCCGGGGGCTATGTCGGCCGCCTTCCCCTACAGCGCCACACCGTCGGGCACAAGCATCAGCAGCCTCAGCGTGGCAGGCATGCCGGCCACCAGTCGTTTCCACCACACCTACCTCCCGCCGCCCTACCCCGGCGCTCCGCAGAACCAGGCCGGGCCCTTCCAGGCCAACCCGTCCCCCTACCACCTGTACTATGGTGCCGCCTCATCAGGCTCCTATCAGTTCTCCATGGTGGCCGGCAGTGGGGGCGGCGACCGCTCCCCCACCCGCATGCTGGCCTCTTGCCCCAGCAGCGCCACGTCCGTGGCTGCCGGTAACCTCATGAACCCCAGCCTGGGCGGCCAAAGCGACGGCGTGGAAGCTGACGGCAGCCACAGCAACTCGCCTACGGCCCTGAGCACACCAGGCCGCATGGACGAGGCCGTGTGGCGGCCCTACTGACCACCACTGCCCAGATGGACTCCGGCAGCCTAGCCAAGGACGAGACGGACGCAACCGAGCAACAACCATGTCTGTACAGAGAGGGCTGATGGGGAGCTCCCGACGGACACCGTCCCCTGCGCACCCCACCCCTCCCCCCAGAGCCCCTGTCCAGGGCTGCCCAAGGTGAATGCCTCAGGGCCCTAGGATGATGCCCCCACCCTGCCGTGGCACTGACACATGTTGACAGCTGAAAAGTCTCTGCTCCTGGTCTGGATGGGGTGGGGGACCCAGGATGGGGGTAGCACAGGTGGGTGGGGACACAAGGGCATCCCGCTTTACCCCCAATCCTGCCTCCCCCCCCAAGTCCTCCCAGCTCCAAAGCCCCCTGCCTCAGCTTAGGTGAGCCTGTCAGAGATCCTTAAGCTGGCGGCTCCTGCAGACCTGGCCCCTCCATGCACTTTACCAGCCCAGGGACTCCCCCGTTGCTGGGGGCCCAGAGCACCCTCTGCCTGGATCGGCCTCCTGGGTTCAGTTCTGAGGAGGGGAGGACAATCTTCTTTCCAGGGCCCAGCCACACAGGACCAGTCCCTCCACGCCCACTCCCCAGCAGCAGTCCCGAACCAGAAACCAAGTTTTAAATGCATTTCAGGAAGTAAAGCTTCAGTCAAAACTCTTCAGACCCACCCTGGGGTACAGCTCTGTGGCCATGCCCCTGCCCCACTCTGCCCTGCCCATGGCTCAGAGAGCAGGAGACCCGGAGGACTGCCCCAGTGCCCATAGCAGCGCTGCTGTGACATGGGGTCGTCCTTCTGCCGGGTATGGCCGGGGTGTGAGCCATGGCAGGGATCAGAGGAACTGGCACAGGCTGTGTGGCTTCTCCCATCCAGGGCAATAGGACAAGGAAACAGACGGCCTGTGGCTTCTCATAGCCACGGTCCCCGTAGTCCTCTCCCCTGCAGAATATGCGTAAGTGGCCGTCGGTGCCATCCCCAGCACAACAGCCCCAAAGGCCAGACGCGCACCCTGGCCCGTCAGAAAGTCCCAATGATCCTGCCTGAGCTGCTCTTGCTGCAATTTCTCTTGTTCTGTCCCCCACCTGAGAAAAAGCAGTGTCCGTCTCCTGGCTGCTGTTGGGGAGGTCCTGGGCGTCCCCCCACACCCTGGCGGCCCCTCCCCCCTTCTCAGGAAACAGCAACCAGTCCACTGCCCTGGGCTCGTCCATTGCCTTTCTCTCTGGTTTGCAGCGTGGCCCAGGCCAGCGAGGGAGGGACCAGTGGGTCCCCCCATGCTCAGTACTTGGCAACCCCAATGACCTTCCGGAGGGCCAAACCCCCTGTCAGGGTGGGGCAAGGGGAGTCAGGGACAGAAAATAAAGCACCCCGACCCTCCTCCTCTGTCCCTACCCCGACAGAGGGGTGACTGCTGCACCCGATCTTTTGGGGCCCACCAAACCTGGGCCCTTCGCGCGCCGGGTCCTGATGGGCAACATGGCCCCCAGGTTGGATTCTGCAGGCACACGGAAATGGGAGAACACAAAAAGAGCGAGCATGTGACTCTGTGTCACTGTGAGTTGGCTGTTGGCGGGCCCAGGGCTCCTGTCCGCCACCCTCAGAAGCCCCACCCTGGCGCTGGCAGGGCGGGTGGAGGGCTGGAAACCGCTTTGCACTATCGTTCGCTTGGGATTTATTTTTAATGCACAAATTGCTTGTACAGTAAACTGTCTGTCTTCTGTACTATTTAACTCAACAATGGGAGTCCGGCTGATTTGTTCTCATAATACGATGCTGAGCTGTGCCCAGGGATCCCAGTGCCCGGCACCCAGGGTTGGGGGCAGGGGTGTACATGCTGCTTTGGGGACGCCTGGCACCTTAGCCTCCTTGCTTGCAGCCCCATTAGAAAAACCATCCCAGTCGCAGGCCAGCCAGGGAGGAATCTCCGTGGTGTGGCCCTGCAAACCCACCAGGGCACCCCTGCTTCCACAGGCCTTACAGAAGCAGGAGCTGCTAGGTGCCCATGGCAGCTTGTTGCCCAGTCCAGGGCAGAGGGAACATGCGCTGGGAGGTGCTTTATAGAGACTGGGACAACTCAGCAGTCGCCAGGCCTGCAGCCAGGTGACTGAGGTGCACAGGAGGCAGCAGCGGACTCTGTAGCTACCCGGAATTGCCTGAGGTTCCGCTGGGACCACAGCCCAGGCATGGGGACCACTGGAGTGGCTCCCCAAACTCACTCTTCCCACCAGCCAGGAGATCCTGCCCACTTCACGGTCTCTCTCCCGGCCCTGTGCCTACTGTCTAGAACTGGCAGTGAATGATGCCCACGAGGCAGCTTTCTTGCTGAACCAAGTCTATGCTTCAGGGGGCTCCCAGGCTTTGCCCTGACTGGGTGGGCTGAGCTGCCGAGACCCTAACACCTGGCTGGGGGCTCCCATAGTCCCTAGCTCAGTGGCTCCCTGCCCTAGAGGCAGCACTTCATCTCTGGCAAGGTCCTGGCCACTCTTGCTGGGTGGCAGCTGCCAGGGCCAAGTGGGGCAGGGTGGGTGGCAGTGTCCAGTGTGTTCGTGTTTCTCTGGGGTTACTTCAGGGAACCACAGCTCCTCCTTCCACGCAAAGCCGACGGTAAAGGAACCTGACGTGCAGAGAGCCCTTCATGTCTTCCTCACCTGCACCCCAGCAGGTTCAGACTGACTCACTCCACCTGCCGGAGGGAAAATCATGTCTTGGCAAAGGTCAAGCCTTGACCCCAGACTGTAGGAGAAAGTGCTGCAGTAACTGCAGTGGCCTGCAGGTGGCGGTAAGGTAGGTGTCGCTGGCCAGCAGGTGAAAAGGGGCCGCCTTTTGCCTGTGTAACCCAGGAGCTGGGATCAGACCCGGCCGAAGACTCCAGCCCCTGGAGCTGCATCCCTGATGACGAATGCATGGAAGAGGGGTTTCCTCCCTTCGCGTCTTGAACATGCACCTGCCCAAGGCCCTAAAGGCCCTGCCTTGATGCAAGGATGGGCTGGAAGGAAGAGGCAGGACTGCAAAGCAGGCAGCCACTTTAGTGTCCCCACCTTCATAGTGCCCGAGGGGCTGTGGGCAGGCACTGTGACTCCCTGGAGTTGTTCAAGGCTCTGCATAGGTTACAGCCCAATGATGGTGACCTGGCCAGGTCTGAGGTCACCTTCTAGAAACCACAGCCCAGTCAATGTCAACCCCGGTCTGAAGCAGCTAGTCCCAGGATTGGGGATGCAGGGTACCCTGGGATGAGGGAGCTCATGCTGGCTGCTCCCGGAGCCTCTGATTTGAGCAGCCTGCAGTGTGACCAGTCCCCACAGCTGGAGGCTGGCCTGGATATGACAGGGAACGAGGGACTGAGTGCTGGGCTGCAGATGGCACTTCCTAGGGCCAGCACAGTGACTCCAGACACACAGCAGCCCTGTACCATCTGTGGCTAGGGGCTAGCCTTGGCTTTTACTTAGGACAGACTGTCACAGGCCGGAGGGAATGGGAGCTGGAGGAGGTGGCACAGATCCCCTCACGCTTACCCCAGATCCCCCGTCACAGACTACACCTCCTAAACGCACACCAGACATCCTAGCTGAGCCCGGGAGCCAGCACTGAGTCCCACCAACCAACCCACTACCCCTCCAGCCCAGCCCCAAGACTGGCCAGCAGGGAGAGACGGCACCTCGGCTTGCTGGTTCATTCTGGGGTCGTGAACAGGACGGGGCGGGATGCAGACAGAAAGAATGAACTGTTCCTGGCAGAAATCCCGGCACCCCCTTCCTCCCGATGCCCACAGCCGCACCTGTGTGGTCCAGTGCGTGCAACCGCTGGGGCGGGAGTTGTAGCTTCCTATTTTTAGTCGTACAGCTTAGAACACTGCCAGCTATATTTACTCTCACCTCCAAGGGGGCCACCCCGGAGCCCCTTCTGGAACTGCCCTCCCCGTGTGCCCACCCTGTCTGCGGCTGGGCTGGAGTGGGGGTGCTGTAGCCTCATCAAAGTGACGCTCTGCGACTCCTTGTCTTTAAGACCTTGTCCAGCATTCGTTTTCTGCCCCCCCATGCCACCTCCTGGTGCCAGACACCATGAAGAACTAGATGAGCAAGTCGCAGCTGTGCCCTGACTGCATCTGCAGAGCAGACACTCAGGGAAGCTTGTTATTAACCAGGAAGCGATCCCACGTGGATCAGGGCACGCATGGGCGGAAGGAGGGGTCCCTCCCCTCAAAAACAAGGGAAAGTGGAGTGGGGGATTTCTCAGGAGGAGCACCAGCAGAAGGGCTTTGCTAGAAGAGGGACCCCTGCACCAAGGACCCAAGACCAGATAGGGGGTCAGGGGACACATGCGTACTAGGAAGTAGGGAGTTACACTGTGGGGTTGTGTGGACGGGATTGCGGCCTGTTCCCAGGCTGCTGTGCTGGCAGGCAGAGGAGACTGCAGCCCGTGCGAGCTGATGGAGTAAGAGCTGAGCAGTCATTGCACACCTCGGCCCAGAAGTCTCAGCACGGACACCGTGCCACCAGCCGTGGGCCTGAGTGTCGTTCACTGAACCGCTCCCCACCCCCCGCCACCAGTTGCAAGCTCAGTGATGAAGCCGTGTGTTCTGCCTCAGTTTCCAGGACAATCCTGACCACACCGGGGGGCAGGGAGGTCCACCTGTAGCCATCCAGACCAGGGGAGTTCCGAGCCTGGCTCAGCCACACGTAGCCTTCTCCCAGGCTCGGGCTCCCACGTGCTCTACACCATACTTCCCATGCCACTTGCAAATGAGACAAAATAATGTGAACCCACAAAAGACTCCATCAGCAATGCAGTTCCCCTGAAGCATGCAAGACACAGGGCTGAAACGGTGGCAATGTATGTTAGGCTACCACCTGCAGTGCTGACATCCCATATAGACACCAGTTCAAGTCCCAGCTGCTGCTCCTCTTCCTATGCAGCTTCCTGCTAATGGCCTGGGAAAGCAGCAGAGGATGGCTCAAGTCCTTGGGCTCCTGAACCCATATGGGAGACCCAGAAGAAATTCCTGGCTCCTGGCTTCAGATAGACTCAGCTCCCAGCCATGGTGGCCATTTGGGGAGTGAACCAACAAATGAAAGTTATCTCTCTCTCTCTCTTTCTCTCTCTTGCTGGGACTCTACTTTTCCAATAAAAACAAATCTTTTAAAATAAATCAATCATCCAGGGGCAGGGAAAAAGAATCCCTCAAAACACACTTTCTCTGGTCCTGTTATTGCTGTGAGCTGCTGAGGTCTCCTGAGCTGAATCGGAAAGACCCACATCATGTCCCACCCCCCTCTGGGCCCTGGGTCATCCTGCTCCACCTGGTTGCGGTGCGGGGTGGGGGAGGGGACACCCTGTGTGCAACAAGGCCTCCCTGGAGGGGGTGGTGGGCCTAATTGGGCTCAGTAGCCTCGAATGCCCAGAGCCAATGAGAGGAGGACGGGGTCCTTGGGTGGGGTGGGAGGCCCGCTTGCCTCCATGGACTTTGATTCCATGAAAACAAGCCCGAGCTGCCCGCAGGATGAATGAGCTTGCGCCTGACCTGCGGGCACCTGACCTGCGGGCGCCTGACCTGCAGGCACCTGACCTGCGGGTGCTCTGTGGTCCAAAGCACATCGCAGAGTTTGTCCCTCACTCCAGAAGAGTGAGCCAGGTTTCAGATGTCACACATCACTGCAGTCAGCCACTACCACGCAAAGACAGCCCTACTGGACGCGAACACCTAGACACTTGCAGATCTGTGCGTGTGTCCGTGTGTGCCCAGGTGTGTATGCCTGTGTGTGTGAGAAAGTGTGTAAATGGCTCAAAAGGAGATTTCCCCAGAGAACCACAGATGCACCAGCAGAGTGCCAGCACAGGGGAGTCCAGGAGGGGTGGGCAGAAGCAGGAGCTGGTTGGAGCCTCCCAGGCAGCCCTTGGTGCTGCCTGCTGGGCTGTGCTGGGTAGGGTCCCCCACAAAATTCATGTCCCCCAGTGCATTAGCGCAATGGGTCTAAGCTGCTACCTACAGCACCAGCTTCCCATATAGGAGCTGGTTCAAATCCCTGCTAATCCATTTCCAATCCAGCCGCTTGATAATCCCCCCTGGGAAAACAGCACAAGAAGGCCCAAGTGGTTAGACCCTCTGTACCCATGTGCGAGACCCAAAGAAGCTCCTGGCTTCTGGCTTCAGAACAGCCCAGCTCTAGCCACTGCAGTCATCAGGGGATTAACTCAGCAGATGGAAGATCTCTCTGTCCCTAGCTCTGTTTAAATCTGCTTCTCACAGAAATATAATCATATTAGAAAGAAAGAACCCACCAGAAGCAGGGAGTGGGCTCACACTTTCAGAGGGTCAGCTCAGTATGTGCGACACATGTTACAAACAGATGTATACGTAGACGCAGTTACACCAACATTTTATGGAGCCTTTTTCTGCAAAATCTTCCGTCTTTGTGGAGTCCTCAGTATTGGGACAACTGGAGGTCCACATGCAAAAGAATGAGGCTGGATCCCTACCTCACATCATACACAGCAACTAACATGAAAAAGACAAGATCTAAACAGAAAGGCCATAAAACCTGTGTAGGAAAACAGCTGTGGCCCTGCATGACCTTGGCTGTGGCAATTATGACATGCAAACACAAGCAACAAAAGAAAAAATTAGGGAAGTTGGATTTTATCACACTGAAACCAGCCCACCAAAACACACAGTCAGGAAAAGTTGAGAAAATATTTTCGCATCCTGTAACTGATAGGATCTAGTATCTAGAACATACAAAT